TTACATTGCGCTCCTGCTGTGCTTTGCCCTTGGAGACGTTTCATTCTCTCCACTGACCTGGCTCCCTAATGAGGCATGTAAACTAGGGAATCCCCCCAGCAAGTGTGCTTGCTTGCAAAGTTTGCAAAAGGGACACATCCAGGACACCTGCCTGGCCTGTCAGTACTTCTGACTGAATCAACTAGCACCACTGGTGGTCAAATAGGAATTAAAAGAAATGGCACTGGCAGGAGCAGGTTTAACACCCCAAGCCTATTAGGGGAGACAATGCAGCACTATTGATTCCAGCCCCTGACCTTGAAATGATGTAAATAAGAGCGCAGCAACCCTAGAGGAGTTGTAGCAAAATAGTTATAGCATTGCAAGCAGATTAAAAAAATACAGTTAATACACATACTTTCCCAGATGCTTGTTTATTATTATGCAAGACATGTTTATTATGCAAAATGATAGAGCAGGAAAAAAAAGCAGAGAAAAAGAAAATGCAAAGACACACTGAGCTCTTAACGTGACTTGGGTTTTTTCAATGCTGCTTTGTGGTTTTTTTATTGTGCATAATCATTCCCTTATTAGCAGGAATCTTTGAAGTGATTCAAGCTCTAATTTCAGTATTTCAAACTCAAAGGTTTATACTGTAAAACCATACTGAGCTCTCATAAGCGACCCATTTTTTTTCCTCTGTATTCTGTATCTCTGCTAGGGTTTTCTCAGCCTTTCCAATAAATTATGTATCACGATTTGCCATTTCAGAAATAATTAGAACTCCAAGTTAAACAACAAGGAATATCTGAGAGCAGTACATTTTAGAAGAGAAGTGTTATGCACTTGGGGCAAAACCAATCCCAGCTGTACCACCACTGAATTATACATATCATCATATTGAGAGCTGCAATTTCAGTGTACTTGGAGTGATTGGGTGGGCCTGTAGAGGCTGCTTCAGGAGAACCAGGTTTACCTCTCAGGCAAACCACTTTGCAGGCACTCCCTTCCCCATGCCCCTTGAGTTGTTGCAGCAGGGGTAACAGAGAGAAAACTGCTCCAAGGAGAGAAACTTCACAGAGAAAGGTTATACCAGAGTAGGAATTAATTTGGTGGTGGAACTATTAACTCCAGACGGAGACAGGAGAGCATGTTCTGTGTCTTCTCCCGTTAGGATTAGGCTGTAAACTCACTGGAGCAGGACGTACCTCTTTATCCTGTTTCTCTCTCCTCTGCAACAACCAGCCTTTGGTCTCAGCTTCCCAAGCCCTAAGACAGTACAAATAATACCCACTGCTCTTCATTCATTCTGTATATTTTTACTTTGGCATAAAATGCTAGCAGTGGATCCTCAGGAGAGTCATGTCACACCACAGAACAGGTGCCGATAAAAACATTTGTGCACCATCAGGGAATTTACAGCTGCTCTACATTACAAGAAATCGAATGGGAACACACCAATGACTCTGCAAGCTTGCTGTGAAGACTGTGTTTTGCATCCTACTGTCTGCAAAGTCAGGTGCCTCAGACCAACATCTGATTTTCTTCCCTACTAAGCACCTAATTCCCCAGTGGACCTCAGAGGTAGCAATAAGCTAGACTGGGGGAGGAAAAAAACAACAACAACAAAAAATCAGGTATGTAGTGTAAGTAAATAATGCACAAAAGTCACAAGCAGCTGCTTCCCAAGCAAGGAGGCTTTGCTATCTAATGCATTTAGGACTCTGATGTTGGCTGGGGATCTATGCTTGGCTTCAACCCAGCAACCCAACCCCACACTGTCCCTACCTATCCCTAACTGAAGAGATGAGGAAACTCATTGTTAAAGGTATCGATGTGGCTAAGCACATAGGAGTGTCTTGCATGTTTCTGCAAAGAGCCTTCTCACCAAGTTTGGCTTTACAGGACCCCACTCAGCCCTGCTTTTGTGCTGACTGGCACCAGGAAGACTTTTTCCAAGGGCTGGTTATTCTAAACCCATTCATTCAAGAGCCCATTGGCCCAAACTCAGAAGGAGCTGGCACAAACCATCTCTGAGACCAGGCTGATAATAGCCTCTGGTTTGATCCAGGGCAGAGAACGTCAGCCAAAGTCTCAGCTGACGCACACAGATTAAATATCATAAAAAAACCCCCCACCACCAAACAAAACCAAAACAAACACACACTGATGTATTCAGTTACAGCCACAATCTGAGCTCAAGAGGGAAAAAAAAAAACAAACAAAAAACCACGACCCAAAAAACCTCCCACTTCCCTGGACAGTTATATTTTATCTGAAAGCAGTCCTGGGCCTGAGGATGTTACAAGAAGTCCTCACAGGGCTAGGTCTGGGCCAGAGAGCAGGGGAGGCAGCCAAGCAGCAGAAAAAGTTCATTTGTCAATGGATCTGTGTGAGTGAACAATATCTACGGGGAATATTGACCCATTTTTTTCAGAAATTCTTCAGAAAAGGCTCGTGAAAAAAATAGGTACATGCACAACACCAACAGAAACTGGACTGAGCCAGAGCAAAGCTGTAGTTTAGGACCTGCTAAGCAAAGGGACAGGGACAATGTGTCCTTTGGTGTGGGCAGCAATCAGGTCCAGGCGGCAGGGCTGGGGGCCCTGCTCACCCTGGAGAGGAACAGACTGTCAAGTCCTGCCAAAGCAATTCCCCAGCACAGTCTTAGAGACTGACACAGCCATGCCAAATGTTGGAGTGGGATCCCAGCACCACAAAGAAAGCTGCAGCATCCAAAAGAGACTGCTTGAAAAGGCTGAGCTCTTTTCAGCTATATCCAGTTCTTTTATAGGACCCTAGTCTCATCCCTTGTCTTTGACATTATGAGTGGCTTGACCCACACTCCCTGCTCCTAACTGGCTTTATCCACAAATTTTCTTTTTTCTTGCCTTGTGGTCTGCTCCAAAGCACAGTGAATTCATTGATTTACTGCTGTAAGACAGAGACAGAGCCACTAGTCAAAACAAGAAGAAAATAGTGTCCAGTGAGTTCCACCTCCCTGGAGTAGAGATAGGCCAGTAGCATCCATTTACTGCAAGCAGAAACCCTGGATCATGTTGATGAAATGAACATTTTAACTCTTACTAGTTCAGAGTTGAATGCCATCAAGCCATGGCATGCAATGAGGTCCACTTCATTAACCACTGGCCATCACGGTACATCCTTAGCCTTCGCCGATTAACTGTCCTACTTAAGACAGGCACACTTGCTGGGAATAAGCAGGCCCCATTAAGCACCCTCATTTGAACACAGGTATGATCTGCTGCCTTTTAGGAGACTTCATATGACTAGCAGATGTGTTTCCTGGACACACAGTCCTCCTGCTGCCCACCATCTCTTGGTACATCCCTCCCACCCTCAGTATCATCTCACTACTGCTAGCAAGAGATACTTTGCATCACCTCTAACCTCTCAGCTGTCAAACATTATGTTTCCAACTCTCCATTTCTCCTTCTGCCTGAGCCCCACGCCCTTCCCTCCCTTGCACAATTTGTTCAGAAAATGCTGACCCCGCATTGCTCCAAAAAGACCCCTGCCAGGCTGGATGCGGCTCTGTGACATACACTGCTTTCCTGCAGTCCTCATTTTCGGGGCACTGGTGGTACAAGGAGCTTCAGTGCTGGGCCAAAACCCTTTATGCCAGCACTGCACAGCACAGGCTAAAACGTCAGTCCTGACCCCCCAACTATGTGCCTAGAGGCAAGCACACACAAGAATGCAGTACCACACCATGCTTGGTATTACCTTTAGGACTCTGATAGCTTTACAAAAAGAGGAAGTTTTCATTGTTAGTAAACAATGTAATTTATTTAGAAGCAGTCATTTATGTTTACTGGGCTATGAAAGAACAGGAAGCGTCTGGCATCCACAGAGATCCAGATTGATCTCTCTGTCTTTTCTTGACAAGCAGCCAGTTTTGAGACCTATCTCGCCAGGCATACTAACACATTCACTTGCCATTTTCTACCCTGAGCCACTGGGGAGACAGAGCTTTGCTACCTCCCGAGGGAAAGGGGGAAATCCCAACCATGTGAGTAGTTTAAAACTGACCAGAAAAGAAGATGGATGGTAAGAGTTAGGAAAAATTGCGTAGGAGCAACTCAAACTGTTGTCCTTTCAGCGGTCCTATCTCAATTCTCACGTACGCTTTTAAAGCAAAGTAAATGCCTAGATGAGCAGAATTGCTGCACTGTAAGTTTACACAAAGGCAGACAAGATTAGAATCTTGACTATACGCTTTAAAGATATCATAACTACAGAAATGAGAAGTGTATTATTAGCTATCACTTTTTACTATGTAGAACTAGAGCAAAGTTATTTGATGCATAAAAAATTCTGGCAAAGGGCTGCCATATTTAATAAATCACTGAATCAATTATTCACTGTGAAAATCAATTACTTACTTCAAATGAGAATCTTATGAATAACCTCATGCCCTTTCATACCATCTAAGAAAGTTATAGGGGAATTAGTCAGTAAAAAATGCCTCACTTATCTTTTATGTGCATTAAAAAGACCACACAAATACAGGGAAATTCTGCTCTGCTGAAGCACTCTGCCAACAGAATAGTCCTGAACCATCTTAATGAAGTCAGGGTATTGCTGTGGATTTACACTGCAGTCAAAAGCAGAGTATGACCCACTGGGGCACCACCTATGATCAGTTATCCGGGCACAATTCAGAAGAAGCAATTCCATTCAGTCCATGCCATTTCACAAATGGGAAACCAGAATATAACCAGCCAACCACACAACCTCCTCTACAACGTGACCTACATTAACTACTCAAAGGAACACAAAGTATATCTTCACAGGTCAGGAAATATTGCCACAAATCCCCGTGGAGACACTTTAAAGTGAATATTGCATGGCCTTGCAGCAGCTCCCCTGTTCCTGCTTTTAAAGGTTTGCTGATAACATGACCATTTTCAGAAAAAGCTGCAAGTCCTAATACAGTCTTTTCCCTCCCACCTACAAAACCAAACCACTCCAGGAACGCAACAGTGCAAAATACTTACTGAGCTGTAGAGATATCCCTCAGCATTCATGGCAACGTACAGACCTGCCTTCACCCCTTGGATTGCCACCACACGAAGACCCACAGGAATTAGATTGAAAAGGGCTGCGGAAGGAAAAGAAAAGCAAAGGTTATGGAGACATGACGCTGCGTGGTCACTGCTGCTTTTTCCCCAGGGCCAGCCCACCCCACTCCTGACTCTTAACAAAAGATACTGAACTAGAATCAAAAGTCCTGCTTGCAGCTAGAGGAAAGGTCTGCAGCCACAGGGTCAATGTTGAAATGAAATTTTTAAAAGTACTGAATGTGGCTGCCTCCCAGAAGCCTTAACACACCCATCAGTCTGTCCGATCACTGCCTTTGCAATGCCAAGGGCTCATACGTGCACTCACGCTAGCGCATCTCAACAGCTTTCCGTGGGCCAGCTGAGCTGTGGTAACTGCACACGTACACATCTTTGCCCGTGGCAAACACAACTTAGTTTAGTTCACCCTGAAACAGATTTAAGCCTAGTCACACTTTTTTTGCATTTGCCATATGCTAAGAGAGTATACTGACAGCAACCCTGGCTAGAAGGATGCAAATTAACTTGACTGTGTGCCTGCCCCTGTGATCCCTGCTGTCAAGGGAATGAAGAAACTCAGGAAGATATAGTGCTCCACGCCAGGACCTGAGCACTGCTCTTCATTCAGAAGCAGCACTAGATAACACAGAAGAGGACAAGCCCTTTCAATACTCAATTTTACTGCAATCTTATTGATGAAAGCATTGCAACCACTTCCTCCCAATTAATTACTTTATTGCTTGATTCCAAGTAGACCCTGTATCTCATTGAAAGACCTTTCACATGAGCATATACATTTACATACTGTCAGGCTTTTGCTACATTTCTAACAGAATGGGCTCAAAGAGGAGAGGACTGTCCGCACTGATAGACTGAGCACTGAAGCATTAGCATGGCTTTGTTTCCACTGAGATTTATAGGATAAGAGTATCCAGATGTTGTAGGATCCCTTGTGCTTCAGCTTACAGAGAGCTAACTGGACCTTGCCCCAGGGAGCTCAGGACATAGAAAGATGGGCACAGGGTCGGGCAGAAACGTGAGCACAAACACAATGGAAATACTTCACTCAAGGTCTTTTCCCGCACAACTGCCCTGAAACGAGTATTTTTTCTGGTTCCCTAGTCATGAGGTCAGACTGCCCCTTCCACATCCATGAAGCATTTCTCATGGCTTGTTAATGCTCACTTATTCGCAAAAGCCTGCCTGAAACATCTCAAGAGCTTTGGGGTGTTCAAATTAGCCCAGGGGAGACCTGTGAATGGGTGCAGTGTCAGAGCACGCAGTGAAGCATTCCTATTTCCCAGCTGACCATTAGGGACATCATCCTCTAGCTGATTCATTTTATAGATCATTTATGAAGTTTTATGCCTGACACATCACATTGGAGCAAGCACAGCACAGAGGGGTCTTCACATAATGGTTCTAGGAGAAACGGTTCTCCTTCTCACTGTGCCATCTCCCAGCCTCTCCTTCCCTGGGAGATGGACCATTGCTGATTTAATAGCAGCTGTGAAGGATAAAGCAGCTTTTGCTGAAATGGCCTATTCAAAATGCTATAGCTCCTCAGGCCAGGCTAGTGTTAATCCTGGTATGACAGGAGGGAGTCAAGTCCAGTGCAATATCAGCCCCCCCGCCCCAAAGAAACTGGTTAAATATGTGTGTGGCAGGTAACACATGGATTTAACTCAACCTCAAGATGCTTCCCGAGAACCTCCCTCATGTACAGCCTGTGAATTACTGCAGAGTGGAGGAGACAGAAGTGTGTTTGGATTCCTTTCAAAGGAAGAACAACATTTATAGCCAACATGGCGGGGGGGGGGGGGGGGAGGAGGACTGAAACTGTGGCTCTGTGGCTTGATTCTTAGAGCCAGTGGTTCAGACTACTAAGTCTGAACTGAAGTCCCAGGATTTGCACAATTTTTAAGAGAAAAAGCAGAGCCCAAAAGGTACGTGAAAAGTAATGGGAAACTGTTTACCTTCAACCTGAACTCTTGGTGGATTTGCTTAAAGGTCAGAGGTGGATACCTTTTCAGAAGTAAAACCTGAAAAAAGCACAGGAGACAGAAAGCCACTTTGCTCAAGATATCTAACAGGTGCCTTGGCTGAGCTGGTTTCAGGGTTGTCTCCAAAAAGGGATTCATGAGTCCCAGTTTCACATGAATGCCCTTTTTTCTCACTCAATTCCCAAGGAAGCCTAGATGACTTCCCTCACTGAGCTGCCTAAAAGGGAGGCACCTCGAGTCTGGTGACAAGAAACCCTACTCTCAGCCCCTTTTCATGCTTTTAAGCATCACGTGAAGTAAAAAATCAAAGCACGTGCTGAAGTCTTACCAAAGCCAGGGCTTGTATTTGTGATTTTGTGGGAGGATGTCAACAGATATATACAGCAAATGAAGTCCAGCCTGGGTATTGGCCTGTGAATAACTGGAGTCAAGGACAGTGCTACTCTGTACTGTCCCCAGATGAGACAAACACACTCCAGCGTTAGCTACTCAGCACTGGAGAGCTGCGTTATCGTGTAGTTCTACCATTGAAAAGCTCACCTAACCAAAGTAAAGTTTTATTTCTATCACTTTCTGACTACCATGAAGGTCTAAAACCCTCTGCAGTTAACAAGTCTATTTATAAGCAATTCCCCTTCCCTAATTTCCCCCCCACACTGAAAAATGGAGCATATTACTGCTAATAATGAAACAAAATGGGCATCATCATTCATTCCCTACAGCCAATTTGTCTTGCATAGAAAACTTGTGACAGACCATTCAGAGCATTCATTAGGCAGCGAGATGATAATACCCAGAATTAGTGTGTGAGAAGTTCTGCATGGAAACACCCACATGTCTCCAAATCTCTCTCTTTCCACCTACACATGCTAAGGGAGCACAGGAACAATCCTGTTGTGCTCTGTGTTACAGTACCAAGACCGCTGCCAGTTCCTAAGCTCCCTGGGACCCTGCTGCAGACCGTGGTACCAACATCCACAATCACGGCTTTTAGGCACGGCAGAGCATCTCCTGCAACACACTGCAGAGTGGGTGAGCAAGTGGGCAGGCAAGCAGGAGGACATGCATCTGACATAGGTAACTAACAGCCAAAGAAGTTTTTGGAAGCAAATGTCTTCCTCTATTAAAAAAAGCGGTTTGGGTCAATCAAGACTTTGTAAATTCTCAGAGCGGTTTCTGCACTCAAATCCAGAAATATCTTCGAAGAAGTTGAAACCTTTTGTTATCATGCTTCCAAATGAATGTTTCATCTTGTTTTAGAACAGATTTAAAAGCTTATAAGCTTTATTGTGGGGGGAAAATCCTCAATCAACCTCGAAAGCAAGAGGTCTCTTTTTGTCAGGAAAAAAAATTGCAGTTAAAATGAAGCAGCAGATTTAGAAAAGGGGACAAGGACTAACTCTGGTATTGGACTGGACACAGGGTGTGCTGATGTGAAGGAGAAAATTTAACAAATGCTTTTAAAACTCTCTCTACTGCAAATGGTACATTTTCTATGCCATCCGCAACTGCATGGAAAGGACATGCTTTTACTTCATGGGCAGAAGAGAAAAAAAAAATTAAGACATTGAATATTTCTGCCTATTTTCCTTCATTAAATCTTACCATTTTCAACCATCAGTAGATTTACACCTGACCCTGCTTATTGATGATCCTACTTTTAGCATGCTCCAGTCCTAAACCCTTTGGTCATAAGTATGTTGTCCACTGTTAATGTTATGGCAGTTTACCAGCTGCATAATACGTTTTTAAAATCTGAAAGCATACTTAGCTATGGGTCTGCGCTAACTTTTTTACAAAAATGGAAGAGTAAGGCAAGTCATGTGATATATAAGATGTGGTCCATATGCTCAGCTGATTTAAGCAGTAGTAAGCCAGAGGCACTAAACTAATTATATCAGGTGATTTGTTCTGGTGCAAGATATTTGTGCTGCACATGAATAAGAAAGAACTAATGGAGGATGCAATAGGCAACAGCAGCCTCAGTACACCATGAGATAGGGAGGTTTAAGATGCTGAGGAGAGTGAGGAAGGCTGCTATGATCAAGAAGATGCGTTGCAACATGCATGAGAGAATACCCTAGTTTCAGCTGGGATAGAGTTAACTGTCTTCCTAGTAGCTGGTACAGTGCTATGTTTTGAGTTCAGTATGTGAAGAATGTTGATAACACTGATGTTTTCAGTTGTTGCTCAGTAGCGTTTAGACTAGAGTCAAGGATTTTTCAGCTTCTCATGCCCAGCCAGCGAGAAAGCTGGAGGGGCACAAGAAGTTGGCACAGGACACAGCCAGGGCAGCTGACCCAAAGTGGCCAACGGTGTATTCCATACCATGGGACGTCCCATCTAGTTTAGGAACTGGGAAGGGGTGGCAGGGAATCGCCACTCAGGGACTAGCTGGGTGTTGGTCGGCAGATGGTGAGCAATTGCACTGCACATCATTTGTACATTCCAATCCTTTCATTATTGCTGTTGTCATTTTATTAGTGTTGTCATTATTAGTTTCTTCTTTTCTGTTCTATTAAACTGTTCTTATCTCAACCCACAGGTTTTGCTTCTTTTTCCCGATTTTCTCCCCCATCCCACTGGATGGGGGAGGAGTGAGTGAGCAGCTGCGTGGTGCTTAGTTGCTGGCTGGGGTTAAACCACAACAGAGAAGAAACTGAGGGAACCGGGTTTGCTTAGCTCAAAGAAGGGAAAAGCCAGAGACAAACTCTTCTCAGAGGAACACAATGAAAGGACAAGAGACATGAGACAAAAGCCTCAGAAAGAAATTATGACTAGATATAAAGAAAATTCTCTACAATGAGAATAGTGCAGCACTGGAACCAGAGATGTTACAAAGCTATGGAATAGCTCATTCCTGGAGACATTTGAAACAACTGGACAAGGCTCTGTGCAACTGAAGATAACCCAGCTCCAAGTAGGATGTCGGACTGGAGACACCCAGAGGTTTCCCCAGTCTTAATCTTTTTGTGTTTCTGGCTGGAAAGCCCCAAACAATATCCTAGAAATGCTGGGCTGTTTCCACCTGCTCAGTACAGTTGACCTATCCTTTACATACTGTCCATTTGCTGAGGCTTTTCAGACATTCAGCAGGATTATGCTGGCAAACAAAGAAGTCCAGTTGCTCTCAAGAAGAAGGGGCCTTACCCTGCTCAGCCCAGAAAGAGCCATCACGATGCAAGCACTGACAGCAACAGTCTGCCCTGAAAGACTATTTGAGTTCACTGGAGTTGGAAGAAAGAGATACTGCCCCAAATTCAAGTTCATATGTAACACTACTAAGAACACAAACAAGTGCCTCACCGACCATGAAACTACGCTCCAATTAAAAGAAAATTCTTCATATATCCCAATCCAAGTAGGCAGAGAATCTGTCTTCTTGCTAACATTAAGATGGCGTGCCTTTAACTGCATGGTATAAGGAACAGATGTCCCAAGCACTGTTTCGCGGGAAACTGGCTGGATGCCCATTCAAATGCCATTAGAACTTGGCTTCTAGGTTTTTTTCTTTTTCTTTAAGTGAGAGGAGGTGGAAAATAAATGCCATCAGCCTCTCAAGAACACACATAAAATGGGCACCAGATAATTAATTTAAAAATTGCTTAAATATTAGCAGTTCCTCTTATATAAATAACTGGATTTTTATTAGAACTTTTAATTGCATCAGACGTATCTGAGGGACATGTCGTGTCTCATTTTAAACATTTATTTTGCCAGAGTAAACCAACCTAATGTATTCCATGAAAATTAAGCTTCCTTTCATAATGCTAATTTGAATAATCAGTGTGGGGCTACAGAACACAGAGCAATGTATGGAACACGGTGTTCACTGTGTATTTAACTGTGCTAAGATGGCTTCTGCATGGAGAATAGATGATCATCCAGTATGGGAAAGATCCTGCTGTAGCCATCAAGATTGCCCTTCTCTGCCAGTGGATGCGAGTTAAGCAACCCCTCTCCAAGGATAGGAAAATATTATTTATCTAGTCTTTGAGTTTTGCCCTTGCACAGAAATAATGCACAGACTTCTGACTGGCTAGTCAAGAATCTTCTGGAGAGGCATTTTAAAACAGAAAACATCAGTGAAGTAAATCTGTAAGCTGCTCACTTAGACAAGCGAGTTCTGACTTTTTTCTGGTCAAAAATTGAGATGTTTGGAGGAACAGAAAAGGAAAAAATAGTCGGTATGCTTTATTTTGTCATTTCAAAAGTGAAAAATGTGATTTTGTTTTGAAGCTATAACTGGAAGCTTCATATAACATAAAATGTTGACTCAAACTGAAGATTTATAAGAGAGCATGTTGTAAAAAGTTAAAACTGAATAAAGCACATTCCCCATTTCATTTTCAGGAGCCAAATATTATCAGGTGGAATTTTTTCCTCTTTTGACATCCCCCGAGATCAGGGGATGGGTAATTCTTTGGCTTCAGTCTTCTCTCAAAAACTTCACTAAACTTTCCAACATAGCCCATGACTTTGAGCAAGTGGCTTGGCACACTTCAGCTAGATGCCTCCTGTCCCACCAAGCTGCCAAGGCAGGGCTGCCATCTCACCAGATAAATTTACACTCTAGAAGTGCCCTTCAGCCCATCTATTTCCAACTAAGACAACTGGGTGGAAGTGACTCACAAGTACTCAGCACCTTGCCAAACTGATCTCTAACATTTCTGATGGGATCTATAAATAAGAGCTGTTTGGGCAGTTGGGGCCCAACCTTAACCATGGGGACTCAGGAGGTTCCCCTGCACCCACCAAGGTGCAGCCAGCAGCAGCTTCCCTCATCTTCCCTCCCAGACTGAAATATTGCAGAACTGCTCTTACACTTTATTCTCCTCCGCTGTTTACCTAAATTCATCCCTGCTTCCACTTAAGCCCATTACTGTGTTGTTCAGTCCTCACTGATAGATGAGGGTAATGAATCCCTGTCATCTCTAGCAGCTCTTCCCATGTCATTAACAAATAGGCCTCCAATGGGATTTTCTGCAGATTGAGAACACTCTATACCTTCTTTCTTTATGAAAAAGCAGCTAATACAACCCAACACTGGGTCATTACTCACCCACTAAAGCCCACTGAACTCATCCCATGTGTTGGTGTCTGCCTGAGAAAAATCACAAGGCCAGACTCTTCTTGCAGGAAGAGACCTGCTCAGTCTCTCATGGAGTAAAAGTGCATGTGTAGAGGTCCACAGATTCTCCTTCTCCAACATCAACTGCTGTCATTGCAATTTGTGGTATTTCATTTGTTCAACACCAGCACATGAAAGAGGGTACTAAAACCCAACACTCGCATCTGCTCAGGGTGAGTTTCTGGTGAATGCAGCCTCTCGGGTCATTTCACAAGGGCTTTGCCAGCCTCCCACAATTTCAGTTACCATCTTCCCAAAGCTCCTCTCATGCATGGACACCAGCCCTGAGCTGGCTGCAGCAGAGCAGCCCCACCACACACAACACTCCTGCCACAGCACTCTCCCAGCTTCTTGGGGATGGGGCAAGCACCATGGATGTAGGGTTGCAGCCACCTTGCACCCTTGTCCAAGTGCATCTTCACAGGACAACATCAATGCCCTGCTACGCGTGCTGCAGCACTGCAGACAGCCCTCACCTGCAGCCCAGGCCCTGCCTTCCTGAAGGAATGATGCCTTCAATCCAGCTAGGACCTTATTAGAGTTAGAACAAGATTTGTCCCCAAATTAGGTAGGTTCCTCCTTTCACAAAGTACATGAAGTTTGCTTCCATCAATCCCACCACACGGATGAACTTCTGTTCATCCCTAGGAATGACTAAGACGACACCTTCTGTGCTGGACAGGCTGGATACAATGTCCCTTCAGTGGTACAGGGAGCTTCAAACCAACATAGGATGACACAAATGAAGATTTGAGTGCAGTTCATGGCACCGAGGATCTGAGCTTATTACTGTCCACTCAGAAGCATCAGTCTGACACCTACAAAATGAAGAGATGCTGTAGAAAATATCCTGCACCTTTTTTAACCTTTTGAAGGAGCTTTGGTATTGACAAAACTACTTCTTTTGCAAAAGGAAGACTGGCTACTGCTTCGCATTTTTTTTAAGCCAATATGGCTCCTGTACACAAGCATCATTTTTAAACCTGCGTCACTCTGCTGCACTTTGCTGTCCTTTGTTGGACAGCATGAACCCAACCCCTTTGAACAGGGTTTTGGAAGATGAGTGCCTTTGGAAAGGTCATTCAATACCCTCAACCTTTACACCAGCCTCAAAGCACTAGACTTTAGTGAACAGCTGGTTTTCTCCAGCCTGGAAATTCCTGATGCTTGCTGAATTTTTCAGGATAAAATAGTGAAAACAATTTTCTCCTCTTCTCCTTGGAGAGAGAATTCCCCATAGCCTTTACCCACGTGGCATGTGTATAAATATAATCTCCTTTCTCTTCTGGCAGCAATTCAAATCATGGGTTTTATTCTCCACCCCACCCAGATGGCAGTTACAGAATCGGGGCAGGAGGGAAGAAGATCGGAGAGGAAACATATGAAATTATACAGGCAAGATTTAAAGGGGAAGGATAGATAGAAAAAATGTGCAGAAAACAGCTGGCTTCTTCCTAATTTGATCTTTTCAAAAATAAAGCTACACAAGTGAGACCCACTAGGTGATGCATTTGATTGTAATTGGGTTGCAAAACAGGCTAATTTTTCTTACTGTAGTCGCTGTTTTCGTCCTTGGTCCCATCAATTGTACCATCTGGGTGCATCTGCAGGAAGTATTCCTGCTGGCTGAATAACCTTGTCACAATTCCCTTCAGCTGGGGTTCTGCAAAAAAAATTATTATTATTAGATATACCAAGTAGCAAGAGACCCAATTTGCTTGGCCCCCATTAAGCCCTGAGTAAACGTAGAAGTGCTTGGCAGATAAGACAGCTTTCTGTGATTCCTTTCAAGCATGGTTGTAAAATATTCATATATACATAGATGTACAGGCAAATAAAATTGAGATCAGATGAGCAGGTAAAAATGCAATGCATAGTTGATGCAGCAGAAAGTAACAGATTTATGGAACATCACTTCACTGAAAGTTAGCTACCAAATGAAAGTCTTTAGACAGCTTATGTATTCTGGATATGCCGCTCGTTCAGAAGAATATTTGCTAGCAGTGTTGGAAAGAATTTGCTTATTGTTTCTTATTCAGCCTGTGAAGCCAACTACCTTGTTTTCTGTATGGTTGATTCCCTATCATGCAGTTCCAGTTTTATGCCAATGAAAATCTATTTAAATCACTGGTATTATAGTGGTGTAAAACCAAAGTAACTGAGTGCTGAATCAGGCTGCATGAGTCCAACTGTGTGGGAATCAGGGAGCAAAATCCTGAAAGGAACAGATGCAAGACACCTCCAAAAATGACCTCTGAAGCACTTATGGGCACCTTAAAACGCCTCTGTTTCAAAATCCTGCGTGTTCCTCCCTCCCAAAACATGTGCCACACTCTGGTAGATGAGAATCACTCTTTGCCTCTAGCAGGGTCCTTTCCCAGCCCCTGTACATCATGAGCCAGCCACTGACTGGCTAGGGGCTTCCTTATTGCCTCTGCAACATTTTATACCTGTGCCGAAGAGGAAAAAGAAAACAAAAAAGCAGAAGCAATTTGAACTTCACATGACAGAGGTCTGCAACATTACTGCCTGTCTCCTTGCCGTCCAACTGATCAAACACAAATTAAGTGGTCAAAAATAAATTCAATTTTAATCATGCAAGTCTTACAATTTGTCACAGGCATTGCTTCTGGAAAGCAAGCTAGCTGGCTACATGTGAACAGACACACTAGCTGAATGGCAGAGATCTTCCTTGTGTGACAGCAGTTTGTGGTTTTATGTGACCACCCACCAAAAGTAAATAAATAAGACCTAGTTATTGCTGGCTCAATAGACAGGAAAAAATCCAGTGTAGCATACCAAAATCTTGTCATCCTCCCATCTTTCATGCCTCTAGTGAGGCTGTTTAATAAGCCATAGTCCTTATATAACTCCAGTCACGTTGTGTGTTAAGTGTTTCCATTAGGAGCCCTCATCTCTAACGATTTTGCACTGCACTGTACAACTTCCATTTGAGGACAGCACTCAGCCTGCACTTCTGCACAGGCAAACCCCCCTGCAGCAAGCAGGGACCTTGGATGCAGACAGGCTGCAGGTGCAAAGGATTTCAGCTTCACCAACCCCTCCACGAGCCAGGGAGAAGCAGGTACTATTTCATAGCTCCAGAAGCCACTGAATCAATCAATATCAGCTGGTTTCTATGCTGCCTTAAAAAAAGTGATTTCATAGCAACAAGAGTGTTGTAGACTGCAGACAGGCTTTCTCCCAGCAAGACAACTCTGGGACAGTGGATAAGTACAATTGTACTGGCCGTCTAGTAAGAACCAACATCGGTCAAGCCAACAGATGTCAAATTGAGCCTTAGATTGAGCTAAGTGTTTTACTTTCTTACCAAAATGAATTATCAATTTTGTTGAAGGCAGAAGCTTAATTTAACTCACTTTTCTAACAAGCACATCAAAGCTAGAGGCAATGAGAAGCTGTATTCTCAGGCACAGATGACTGCACCACCCTCCTTGAGCCTGTCCCCTTCCTCCCTTTTATCTAATACCAAAAGAGTAAAGGCACTACTAGGCACTCTCTGATACGAGACCTATGTTTGAGTCCCTGAATGAGTCTTAGCCTCATTTTTACTCTGGTTAAATTTTAGCATTTAAGTACTTTGCACAAAATGAAAGAGCTCCCAGTAGGAGAGATTTAGAAGATGCTCCTGCAGCCTGAGGCTTTCTGTGTGCTGGGAAAGGGGGGAGATCTTGTCTTAAAGCCCCTCAAGGATAAGAGAAGTGGAGATATAAAAAACCCTGACCTTTTCCCCTTTCTTGGGAAGATAATTTGGCTACAGGATAGAATGACCTTTCCTTCTTCTTTGGGGTGCAAGCTATACTTTGATCATGCAAATCACTTTTGAACACATGAAAACCTCTCCCACTTTTACTAAATAGCCTACCAAGTAAAATATAGAGCAAATCTGCTCATCATTAGGAGCTTCATGTCATTTTTAGAGTTTATCAGAACAGCACCCAAGATCGCCTGAGGTCCCCCTGCATCTTCGCTATAGATGCAAATACCATTGCAGCAGAAGGCTAAGTGTTACCATAGTAAAACACAGGATAAAGCCCCAGGGTCCCTTTTTGTTACTGATCTGACATAGACAGACAGTCAGGTCTGATTCAAGCTTAACAACTGCCATCTTCATAATCCCAGGCTTTTCTGAGTCAATGCCTGCCTAGGGACAGGTTGGAGGAGTAATCTTGTCTTACATGTGTGGGGTTTTTTTTCTGACCTGACCTGGTTTTGCTGAAGTTTGAGGCTCATGCCCAAACTCAAAGTAAAACTCAAAGGGACTGAAGCGGAGAGCTCTCAGCCATACACGGACCCACCACATTCCTCCTGGCCCTAACACAGTCTGACAGCAGCAGTGTTCCTCTCTCTCCTCACTGCACAGATCCTCTTCTGCAAGAGCATCCCTGCTCCCCAGCCTCATTTAGGATGCCCTGCAGCACCAGCAAACAAATGCCTTTTCCAGACACCAAAAGGTCAGAAAGCCCTTTGGAGACATACAGATCTCTTTTCCTGGTTTCTGCATTTCCTTGGGTCTCTTTCTACAGGAGAGAAGCACTGGTGAGCAGCTGCACCTTTGGGTACCTACCCGAACGAAATACAAAAGCAGCATAGAGACATGCATAGCCAGGACCAAGTTCTCTCCTCTAACGCAGAGCACAGCCCAGGAGGGTTAGGGAGTTGCCAGGGCAATGGGTGATTTGCCTCACCTCGTACAGCTGTCTCTACACCTGAACTGGGCTCCCTTTGCATCCCAGAAATCAACAGGCAAGCCAGGCCAGGTCCATAGGGTCCTGAAACCACCTGCACCTCTCCACTGATTGCAAAGGGACCAGCTCAAGCACAGCTACACTGGTGACAGCAGCCAGCAGAGTAGCTGCTTCCCACCTCCTGTCTCATGCCTGGGCATAAAGTGGGATATTGGAATTTGTCATTCATACAGCAAGCAGTGTGGCTGGGAGGCCTACAGACAAAATTTTAGGCGAAGGAAGCTTTTAACAAGGAACAAGGACCTACCCTTCTCCCCAAAGCTCACTACAGAGTTACTACCTGAAAAGGGAACTGTGTAATCACAGGACAGGATTTTTCCTGCTAGCCCAGAGGAAAACTCTGCACATAAAACTTTTAAGAGATCCCCTACTTTTGTCATATCATATATTTTAGCACCACTTCTTTCCATCTGCAGAGCAATTTTATCACAGTCTTTCAGCATTGCTATCCCTTATGCTGCAGCAATCATGCTGAAAACCTCAGTTTGTAGAAAAATCTCAAAACCAGTAGGTGTCCTTGTCAGTTAAGGATGGTGGGACACCCTGGTAAATCAGAACAGAAGGCAGAAAGACCATGAAATAGACTGAGAACTTTTCACAGTTTTGCAATTAAAAGAGAGAACAAAACTTCCAGCAGGCAATATTCCCAGTGCTTACTGGGGAGGGGGCAGAATTAAAATAAAACCCCACAACCTTGATACTTTTATTGTCTAAAGTTCCCTCAATGATATTGCTCCAGACTATAATCAATAAGATAAAGAAGCAAACCAGAGAAAAAGAAAAAATGCAGCACAGATAAGTACAAACCCTGCCATGAACATTTTCTTTCTATAATTCACAGAATTCACCAGGAATCAAACTCAAATCTACTCTTTAACCTCACCCCTATGTAGCAAGGGGGACTCAGATCCTCTTGCTTTTGAAGGAGCAACACTGCATAACACACTTGGGATAAACCTATTCCTCCCACTCAGGCTCCTCCATACAGTCTTTTATTTTGCTGTAGGAGCAGCTTTCCCTGCAGAAATGGAACTGAACTAATGTATACAAGACTTGAGCACCAACTTAGCGTCTCCCTAAACACAAAGTCAAGTACTTCAGAATGGATTTAAGAAAGAAGTTACGACTGCCTTGATCCCAAAGTACTGACTAAACAAGAGATTTCCACACAGTATGGATTCCCAGTGTAGACCCCATGCTAGTAGGATTCCCATATGATATGCAAAGAGATATTTTCCCCTTATAAGCAATACTGTTATACTTTAGGATGCTTACTTTAAAGTTCCTGTTCTAGTTGCTCATACACAGCTGTTCAGGGCTGGGCAGTGCTGGAGAAAGCTCAGTGGACCATCTCCTTACGCAGATGCAGTGAGCTCAAATCCTTCAAACTGTGGTGCTCCCAGAAGATGCAGGAGAAGATCATGCCCAGGAAGCATCCCCGACACAACAGGCACAGCCACAGCACAGACCAATAAGAGTAGCAGGGAGCAAGAGCTAAGCCATGGCTCTGTTCCTGGTCTGCAGCATCTGCCAGGCTAGGAGCTTTCCCTAGGGTGAAGACAGTTCTCAGCTGATCACACTTCTTAGAGCAGTCATCCAGCGACCAACTCACTGCACATCCCCTGAAGAGCATCCTACTTACTTCTCCTTCCACAGACCAAACTCACCAGCTCTGCCTGCCCTGCTTTTAACTTTCTGAGCCCTTTAACACAGCTGAGGCTAACTAAATCATGATCTGATTGCTAATCTCCTTGTCTCTACTTAAATGGTAATGTGATGCTGCCATTATTCATTTCAGCTGTCCTGCTGCTGAGCCTTAAAGCCATCTCAGTTCACTATCAGCTGCTGTGCTTCCTGCCTTATTGTACAGCGATTTTCACTCTCCTGGGGCTTG